CCTCTGTCCTTGGAGATAATTGGATTACTTCCCAATTATCTCCAGGATAGAAGACTCTGTGGAACTGGTTTTGGGCAGAAAAGCCATGCTTCATTTGGTCACAAAGGACTTTGAACTATCTTTTGAACCAATGGACCAATTTAGATGATTTTGACATATGTTTGTATTTGGAGTATGCTGATTCTAAAAATGTAATGTGAATGCAATGCATACTTTTCAAGTTATGAATAATGTGGGAAAACTGTATTTCTCTGGCTGTGATAATTACATTACCCATTGTGTAAGGTAATTGTATCACAGGCAGAGGGGAGGATTTTGTGTGGGAGTGTCTGAGTGTATTGTACATGTTTATTGGTTGTTTTCCAAAACCCTGTGGGTGGTACTAATGTGTAAGAATGTGTACATAAGAACAATAAACCCACAGCTCTGTCTGTTGACTGCTTGACCCTCAACACAGAGCTTTGACTCGTTCTTGGGGGATTTACTGTATGCTGTTAGAGACTGATTGCCAGGAGTGTAAGCCACTTGGGTGCTTTTCCTGTTCAGCTGCTAGCAGCTATTCGTGAGGTTCCAGTTCGGGAGTTTGGAGCATTCCCTTGTATCCAGTTTGGGAGTTTGGTGTTCTGCAGTAGCTGTGCCTGTGTCTCTGGAAGGGAAGATCTACTAAACGGCTTGTAACCCCTTTTATGCCTGGGGGTGTCGTAACACCTACCTACACTCCCACCCTAATAATGCAATAAAATAAATACCTCCTTTAAAAAAAAAAAAAAGTATTATTTTTTTCTAACTCTTCTTTTTCACCCAAAAAAGGGCAAATTAAAATCCAGGATTTTTGATGCAACTAATGGAAAAAAAACAAACAAAAATGAAATGCAAAAAAAATAATAAATGAGAACAATAATAAGGAGGTTAAGGGAAACTACATATTGACTGCACTCGGACCACTTCATTGAAATTAAGTGGTCTGGGTGCATAATGTGGCCCCTTAACAGCCTTTGGGAAATAGGAAAAAAGTTATGAAGGCTGTACTAAAAGTAAATCTGAAGTTTTAGACATGAAAGATAAAATTTTCCTCAAGATCATAATAATCACTTTTAACAAGGCTTAACCATGTTCATATGAAGCTAGGCTAATCGTGTGTTATTGATTTCCTATAGTGTTTCTCCAGCTGAGGAAATGCCAGTGGATGATGCCTCTGTAGATCTTGTAACTGCATGTGCTGCTGCCCACTGGTTCAATATTGAGGGTTTCTATAAGGAGGTAACAATACATTAAATGTTTTTCAATAAATTTGTAATATGTATTCTGTAAAATGAAAAAAATTTATAAAATATATATAGATGTATGTATATGTGGCGGAACCAACCTCGCCAATATGCACTGGAGAAGCCTGGTTGCTCGCCTGCTCCCTTTAGACTATGGCCCTGCAGTTCAGACCTGTTATTTTCCCTGCTGAAAGGTTTATTCGTGCCTTTCTGCCAGGGTGTTCGGTAGATTCCATCTACCGAACAAACTACCGAACCATGAACCACCTGGGAACTGGAGTGTGCCGTCTATTGACCGCCCAGAAGCTGCGGTTAACCGCAGCTTAATTGATGAACGCTGGGTGGCCTTTGTTCGGTTGCCGAACACGTGGCAGCGGCCATTTTACCACCCGAATGGCCAGCGGTGTTCAGCGCCCAAACTATGGAACTGAAAACGGACACTTATTGGCGCGAACACCGCTGAGCCGCCAGCCTCCTTACCTTCTCATTCGGTAGCGGAACCGAATGACTGTTCATTCGGTAATTTAACCGGGTGAACAGCATCACCCCAGATAGCTAAGCCATGGAGCTTGTTCCTGTAACGAAAGACTATGTGAAATACTTTGGCTCCATGGCGATTGAGATGTATGTATGTGATCTGAGCGCCATTCGGTAGTAATGTGCGCTCAGATCTCAGCTTTCTGGGGATATGTAGTGTGGCAACCTAGCCACTTGTAATAATCTGGACTATGTATATAAAAAGGTTGCCTGTATTATTCCTGTAACTTTTATATTGCCTAGCTGTATCCTGGGTGTTAATATATGCTGTATTGAATTCGTATGCTAGCTGCCGTAAGCCGCTAGCATTCATGTGTTTAGTTTCACGAACAGCACCATTGCGGGCTGTTCGTGAACCGAATGAGCTACCCCCTAATAGCCCACACACATAGGGACGTGTGGCGCTCGTTAACCGATTGCAACAATGTTGCAATGGGTAATTAGAGGCTCTCCTAGGTGGCCGCCATTCGGCTACCGACCATGTGGCGGTCGGCCATCTTGGATCCTTTGTCTCCCCAGCGGTGTTTGGTCGTCGAGTGCGTGGAACTGAAAATGGCTACTCGATGGTGTGAACACCGCTGGACTTCCAGGCCGTTCGGGAGCTCCGGTCTTTCGCCATTAAGGTTCCCCATCGGTGTTCGGTATTTTGGGGCGAACTCTATGGCAAAGTGTATTTCGTACGGCGGTCGGTTGTTTTAGCTGGGATCTGAGCGGTATTCTCACGAACTGTGCACTCAGACCCCAGCTATCTACCGAACGTCTATTCGTTTAAATCTGCCAAGTATTCGAAAAGTTATGTATTTAAAAGTGAATTGTCGGTTCTGCTGCACGGAGGGATAATCCACTTAACAGGTTATATTCCAGTGGGAGTATCCCTCTCGTGCAGCAGTGCCTGATGGGAGAAATGCCCAGAATGTTAAGTCCCCCATGTAGTCACTGTGTTACCCCTGCTATGTCAGTAGGGAAACCCCTTGCATGGGGACTTGCATAAATACCGGAGCTGTGAATAAAGACCTCAGTTGACTCCCAGAACTGTGTTTCGTCTGGTTACTGGGGGATTTGGGATATTGCCTTGCTTTTCAGCGCGTGACTGTGGATTACCTTCTTAACCAGCGGAGATCGTGGGATTTAATATTGCTGCTCTGCTACATGTAGAATGTCTTTGTTTTATGTAATAAATGTAACTATATGTAATTTTATGTCTTTTACTGTCTTTTTACTACCATGTGGTTAATGGAGTTTTGCCTCTGTCATTGGAGATAATTGGATTACTTCCCAATTATCTCCAGGACAGAGAGGAGGGATTGTGATGCATTGTGGGATTGTTGAAATGTGTAAGTCTGTGATTGGTTCTTGTACCCTTTGTGTCCCAGTCTCCCATCTGGTCCCCTAAGGGAGTGTCCACCAGGTGGGAGACCTGCATAAAAGCCGGGCAGTTAGCCCCAGTAAAGCAGATTCTGCTTGACCCTCAAAACGAAGTGTCGTCTCGTCTTTGGGGGGGATTTGCTGTGTGCTGTTAGAGACTGATTGCCAGGAGTGTAAGCCGCTTGGGGGCTTTCCTGTTCGTCTGCTAACAGCTATTTGTGTGTCTTCAGTTCGGGAGTTTGGAGTGCTACTTGGTATGCAGTTCGGGAGTTTCGAGTATTCGATTGGTTGCAGTTCGGGAGTTGGTGAATTTGTGGGTTTACAGTTCGGGAGATTGGAGCTTGCAGTAGCTGTCTGTGCAGCTGAGAAAGGGGAATATCGCCTAAACGTTTTTTAACCTCTTATGTGTAAAACGGTCCGTTACAGTATATGTACAGGGCTCTAAGAGAAAGCCAGTATAACAACTGAGATATATATATCACAGTTGTTATACTGGCTTTCTCTTAGAGCCCTGTACATACACATACACAGGGCCGCCATCTGGGGTGACAACCATGATGGTTGTCACGGGCCCGGCGGTCCTGGGAGGCCCGGACTGCTTTGGCAGTCCTGGGCCCCACATTCCCTCTCTGCACATCTATGTAGCGATGACCGCTATATATATGTGCAGCTGCGGGCCCCTGGCTCCCTGTATTTGCAGATGGGGGCCCAGCAGACTGCATCTGTATGATAAAGCTCTTCCCTCTCTCTAATTCCCGCGAGACCCGCGGCAGTCAGAGCGTTGCCATGGGTTACCATGGCAACGCTCCGCGCGGCACACAGACCACGCTCGCGGGAGTTAGAGAGAGGAAAGAGCTTTATCATAAAGATGCAGTCTGCTGGGCCCCCTCTGCAAATACAGGGAGCCGGAGGCCCCACAATGCCACCGGACAACCAGGGATCATGGAATCTCCCCCCTCCCTGAACCAGGTAAGAAGCAGGAAGAGGGGAGAAACATGTATTACATTTACATTATTACATTACATGCATACACTAGTAAACACACACTCTGCCTTCATTACACTAACACACACTCTGCATTAACTATACACACAGCGTCCAATACACAAACATCCTGTATTCACAGTAGCCACACTACATCCACCACACATTCAAACACTCTGCATTCACTATACAGAGACACTGCGTCTAATACACACACTACATCCACTACAGACACTGCATCCACTAAAGACATTGCATCTAGTACACACACACTACATCCACTACTCAAACACTCTCTGCGTTCACTATACACACTGCATCTGCTACACAAACACACACTCTGCATTCACTGCACAAACAGTATCTAATACACACAAACACTACATCGATTACACACATTCTAATTCACTTCCACTATACACACCACATTCAGTCCTGCATCATTGTCAGTGGACTAGGTAGGAGTCCTGTGGGCAGACTCGGGAGCGGGTGGAGGGGTGGTGGGCGGGAGGGGGCCCTAAAATTTCTGGTGGCGGCCCTGCACATACATATCTATCTATCTCATACAGGGACAAGAGGGGAGAGAGGCTGAGGAAGGGGGAAAAGAGAAGTACAAAGGACTCAGCCCCTATCCTACCCCACAAACTTTCTCTCTTTCACACTACACACAATGTTTCCCTATACATACACTGAAACACTCAATGCATTCCTACACACAAACACACCATGCTTCCCTTGCACACAGACAATGCATCCCTTGCACACATACACAGAAACACACAATGCATCCCTTATATGTTTACACACACACAGAAAAACAATGCACTCCTTACACACACTCAATACACCCCTTACAGACGCACACACACACCTTGCATCCCTTACACATACAAACACAGAATCACACAATGCATCCCTTACACACAACCAGAAACACACAATACATCCCTTACACTCGAACACACACTGCTTTCTATCCCTTACACAAAAACACACTGCATCCACTACACACAAACACACTGCATCACCTACAGAAACTGGTATCCCTATACACTACATTCCATAAGCACACACATTAGATCCTCTACACTAATACGTAACACATCCCCTACACACTCCCCTGTGAGTGAACTCATGGGTGGAACATGCAGGTGGACTTATGGGTGAGCCCTTGAGCTGTGTAAGGGGCCCAAAAAAATGGAGCTGCTTCCCTTTCTCCCAGAACATTGAATTTTGTGACCACAGTTACAAACCGCCTCCAGATATCCTGTTCTACACCAGACCAGTGGAGCCAGACTGCAGCCCATCACCATCCTCATCTGATTGTAAGTAGGCAATCTAGTATATTAGTGACACTAATCTCTAATTTACCTCACATTAAAGGGACACTATAGTCCCCAGAACCACTGCAGCTTAATGAAGTGGTTCTGGTGTCTATAGCCTGTCCCTGCAGGCTTTTAATGTAAACACACACTGTGTGCAGCACTGGCGTTAGTTCATATGGCAGACCATATGGGTGGGGCATTGTGATGTCACGTGGAGGAAAGGGCGCAAATTTTTATTTTTTTGCCTAGGGCGGCAAAAATCCTTGCATCGGCCCTGGCCACCAAATATATGCATCGTACACCAATCAATCAGCAGGTTATATTTGTTTTGTGTATATATGTCTGCTATGATTTGATACTGTATCATAGATTAGTATCAAGGTAATATAATGGAAAAAGCAGAACTTGTTATATCCTTTCTGGCATGGAACTGATCCTACAAACTGTTAAACATGCTAGAACAAATAAATGCATTCAACTCACACAGTCACATACCATATCCCCTTATTATTACTATACAATATTTTGGTAATCCGTTTTGATTGATTTTTTTTAATTTTATTAACCGTTTCATTAATTTTGTTTTTCAAAAGCAACTTTAGAATTGTTGAATGAAAACCTTGCTCCTGGTGTTCCATTCTAGGTGGATCGGATGCTCAAACCTTGTGGTTGCCTTGCTATTTGCACGTATGTTTCTGACATGGAAGTTCATTACAAAGACAGATTCGAACAGTTGACACAAGTCTTTAAAGAGGTCAGCTGACAACTCCGTATTTTTTTCTGGTGCAGTATATGGTAGTTTTTCATTATTATTAAATGTGTTGTGAAAGTTTTAACATAAAGGTTATTATGAGGGGTTAAATAATAACGAACATCTGATTTCGATGTTAATGGATAAATCCTACCACCTGTCTCTATCTAATGAAAAGTTGCAACTAACTTAACTACTATGGAAACAAGCCCTTTATTGTTGTTCAAACATTACATTTAAGCAGTTTTTGAACTGAAATTACCCTGATTTGTTGCTGCCAGCTTAGCTTAGTGCTGCAGCTTCAGGCAGCAGAGAAAGAGACAACCTATGCTTGGCAGACACCAAATAAGCTTTCAGATTGCCTGAAAAAATTTGAGTATTTACCGTGGGAGATCACCAGGACAGTGTAACTGTAACTGCAGCTGGTTCCCCTATTTACCACTAGAACGTCTTAAAGCATAGAACTTAGCAGGGCTAACCATACAGATATCTTAGCCGTAATTCTATATAGTTATTAAGAGATCCTCTATTTAACATATATAAATAATTGAGAATACAATATTAAATAAGGATTGTCTTGGAAGCAACTACTACTTACGGCAGACTGTAATGATTATGTTGCTTATTGTTCCTTTACTGGCTTATTAAGTTTGTTACCGTTTAGGGAGAGATGTGGGTTAAATACCCATTTTTTAAACCTACCACTTCCTTCACTTTGATTTTTCCTTATTTAAGGTGCAAGAAAAGTTGTCCCTATATGAAAATGAGAAACTGAGAATTGTGAAAACCGGTTACAAAGACCTATTTGATGCCATACCTTATACAGACAAAAAATGGTAAGTCGGATTTTCTTCTATACTGACTTTATTTTTTTCTCTTAACCCTATATATTTTAATAACCAAAAATATTTTTTTGTTTTGTTTTTTCCAGGGTTGAAAATATGAGAACCAAAATGCCAATGTTGTTGTCGGACTTTTTGGGTCTCATACAGACCTTCTCTACGTTCCAAAATTTCCTTAAATGTGAAACCGAGAAAGCTGAGGAATTTATAGTGACAACAGAGAAAAGGTATATAAGTAGACGTGCAGAAGTTTGTTTTAAGCGATTAGTCCAAATAAAAGTCATTGTAGTCATCGAAACAAACCGATTCCAAATGGTTTTACCTGAGGAGTTGATTTAAATCCATTATTTTCTGTCTCGATTTTAAATAATAATTTATTCGGACAAATAAAACACAAATGTTTTTCACAGGTCTTAAAATAACTGTACAATTTGCAATCAATGTCTCCTTCTCATGGTGCATGATGAATATATACAGTTATAGGAATGTATTTTTTTTTTGTCTGTTACCATTCTGTGCATATACACTTTTGATACACGTTTTCATGCTCGTTATTAAAGACCAGCTGTTACGCATTGCTAATTCAAACAGTCAGCAGATATTTGTGGTTTAACAGGACTTCCTTGGTCCAGCCAATGTTTAATGTCTGCACACTATGTACATATGCCTCAATTGATACTAACTACTACTTAATATTTACTATTTTGCACATTTGACATAAAACAAAGACATATTTGTCATAGCAAATCAGCCCTAGTGTTAAAGGTAGGTTTTAGTGCTTAAACGTACTAAACGGGTACCCTAACAACGTAGCATCTACAGCTTCATCATGGTTTTTGTTGGACCATAGTTTTTGTTTGACTTTGGCTCCTCTTAGCCTTTTAGATTCTTTTTCTTAATCATCATTACTACAGTCACGTTGATGGCCATTTGATATCTCTTAATATGAAATGATACAGCTCCTGAGTAATACTAGGTTAGCCATCCTGGTGGCTTGAAGGTGCTAATCTTGAGTTTATGACATTCTGTTGACTTTTTCCAAACCTTTTATTATTTTTTTCAGGTTCCTTGAAATCCTGGGTGTATCCTCCACTGAGACCGACATTGAAGTGTGGTTGAGCAATGTATGTTTGTTGGCCACCAAGCCTGAGTGAAGGGAATGTACTGATTAAACAATAAAGCTGCCAAGCGCAACAAAGCTTTTGTTACATGAACCATAATGTCTGTTCTAATCAGAAAAAAAGTAAATTAATCTTGTAAGGTGCTACACATTGTATAAACTCTCTTGAAAAGATAATCAGTGTTTCCTGTTTGCTTTTTTTATTCACGCAGTTTAAAAATGATGGTGTATTGCTATCTTAAATACATCTAATAAACATGGTAAAGGAAAGCATTGTCTTTACAGCAGATTACATGAATCAAAGATAAGAATATTTTGAGAAAATCATGTTTTTACGGTTTTGTTTTCATAAGTCCTTACATACAATACTTTTTTTTTTTTTTATCCGCAAAATAAATAAAATGTTCCTTGTCAATTATGCAATACAAAGCTGCAATAATAAAACATATAAAGTGTAATACAGTTTAGAATATAATTAGAGGTGTAGGGTCACAATTAGCAAACTCACGTGGGAAAGAGCCACTTCCGACAGGCTCAAATCACATCAACTTGTGTGTACTCAGGTGACACTGAACCTCTTCTTTCTTGAATATTCTCATCTACAAAGGAAAGAGACAAGGAGGGGGGAGAAATAGAAGCAAGGTGTCACTAGTGCAATAAATTCAAGGTGCAGGATAACAAGCACAGCATATAATTGGCACCTTGACTTTTAAGGAGCCCAAGCCTGGCTCCTGATGTAACATAGAATTTAACGGCAGATAAGAACCATTCGGCCCATCTAGTCTGCCCAATTTTTTTGTCCCTGGCCTTATCTTATAGTTAGGATAGCCTTATGCCTATCCCACGCATGCTTAAAGTCCTTTACTGTGTTAACCTCTACCACTTAAGCTGGAAGCCTATTCCATGCATCCACTACCCTCTCTGTAAAGTAATACTTCCGGATATTATTTTTACACCTTTGTCCCTCTAATTTAAGACTATGTCCTCTTGTTGTGGTAGTTTTCCTTCTTTTAAATATAGTCTCCTCCTTTACTGTGTTGATTCACTTTATGTATTTAAATGTTTCTATCATATACCCCCTGTCTCGTCTTTCCTCCAAGCTATACATGTTAAGTTCCTTTAAACCTTTCCTTGTAAGTTTTATCCTGCAATCCATGAACCAGTTTAGTAGCCCTTCTCCGAACTCTCTCTAAAGTATCAATATCCTTCTGAAGATACGGTCTCCAGTACTGCGTACAATACTCCAAGTGAGGTCTCACCAGTGTTCTGCACAATGGCATGAGCACTTCCCTCTTTCTACTGCTAATACCTCTCCCTATACAAACAGGCATTCTGCTAGCATTTCCTGCTGCTCTATTACATTGTCTGCCTACCTTTAAGTCATCAGAAATAATCACCCCTAAATCCCTTTCCTCATATGTTGAGGTTAGGACTCTATCAAATATTCTGTACTCTGCCCTTGGGTTTTTATGTCAAAGATGCATTATGTAGCAGAACCCCTCTGGCTGTCCAACACATTTCCTTGTTATTGTTTTATTTGAACATAAAAGGTTTCGTATGAACTTATTATAGGTACTTTCATGTGATTATATGTTACCTTAATAGTATTCGTCCAGTTGTTCGGTAAAAAGCCATACAAATCTGCATTGAACTGCTGCATTCACCATCCGAACCAAAGTACCGAACAACCGGACCACCCTGATGTGAAGTGTGGCTGTAATTAACCTCCCTGTTCGTCCATTACATTCCCCTACTTGTTCCTGAGCCACTCTAGGATACCAGCGGAAATAGGCTGTGGGAAATCAGCTCTCCGCTACACATTAAATTGCACTTATCCACATTAAATGTCAGTTGTCACAACTCTGACCATTTTTCTAGTTTACCTAAATCATTTGCCATTTGGTTTATCACTCCTGGAACATCAACCCGGTTACATAAATTAGTATCATCAGCAAAAAGACATACCTTATCATCAAGACCTTCTGCAATATCACTAATAAAAACATTTTAAAAATGGGTCCAAGTACAGATCCCTGAGGTACCCCACTGGGGACAAGCCCATGCTTCGAATATACTCCATTGACTACAACCCTCTGTTGCCTGTCACTCAGCCACTGCCTTACCCATTCAACAATATTTGAATCCAAACTTAAAGATTGCAGTTTATTGATAAGACTTCTGTGTGCAACAGTGTCAAAAGCCTTACTGAAATCTAGGTAAGCAATACTACTGCACCACCCTGATCTATAATTTTAGTTACCCAATCAAAAAAATCAATAAGATTAGTTTGGCATGATCTCCCTGAAGTAAACCCATGTTGTCTCTGATCTTGAAATCCATGTGTTTTTAGATGTTCAACAATCCAATCCTTTAACATGGTTTCCATCACTTTCCCACTACTGAAGTAAGGCTTACTGGCCTATAGTTGCCCAACTCATGTGAATGGGCACAACATTCGCTAACTTCCAATCTTCTGGGACTACTCTTGTTAACAATGATTGGTTAAATAAATCTGTTAATGGTTTTGCTAGTACACCACTAAGCTCTTTTAATAACTTTGGGTGTATTCCATCAGGTCCCATTGACTTATTTGTCTTTACTTTTAATAGTTTAAATAAAACCTCTTCCTCTGTAAACTAACATGTAACAAATGACTCATTTGTCCTTTTTCCTAACTGAGGCCCCTTTCCTTCATTTTCATCTGTAAATACTGAACAAAAATATTCATTAAGGCAGTCAGCTGGAACTTTATCCTCTTCTACATACCTTCCTTCTTTTGATTTTAATCTAACTAATCCTTGTTTTACTTTCCTTTTCTCATTTATGCATCTAAAATGTATAAGTAGATGTGCCTTTAAGAGGGCTACTACCCTTCTTTAAACTGCAGCAAGACTTATTTCAAATATGGAAAATTAAACAAAATATATAAATAAATACATACAATTGAAAGAGTCCTGTGGATCTTCTTATTCCGAAACGCATTTCACTGTATAATGACCGCTTTCTCAATCAGTAACTTGCTTGCTGCTGTCCATGGATTAAAATCCTCTGTCTTCATCTTGATTGGTGTTTGTGTTCATGATTTTACCAATCACATTCGTAGATTCTTTGGGGGAGTGCACTGGATGGCTGTATCGAATTGGTAATCTCTCCCCGTCTCATGGTGTCGCGCGTAACATGCTACATTACATGCAACATCACTATTGGGCGTGTCTTGACAGTCCCGTAGCTTACTGGTGTAGCGTTGGTGTAACTGTTACCCCAGTTGGTGAGAGGGTATCCGCCATTGGAGACATCCTTTTTCCCGGCAAGCTGCTGTGCAGTAGTGGAGTTGCTTATTCCCATTCACTGGATCCAAGTAGAGCGCAAGGCAGAGCTCTTAAAAGAGCAAGGTGATTCAGCTGCAGATTCCCTTCCTAGAATGAGACAAGGCTACATTTTAAAGGGTCAAGAAGAACTGAATTTTAATGGCAGATGCTCTCCTTTTATGCGATGCTTCCCATGCAAGGGAGACACCCACACAATTATTACAATAACTAATAAAACACAAGGTACAACCCACACATCTCCTCCCCTTAGATAAGCATTTAACATAATTAACAAGCATACATTTTTCCCTGAGTTTTGGATGTACCAAATCCCTGATAGCCCTAATCTGGGGGAGCAACAAATTTAAAAATCACCCAGATCGGGTCAGGGGTTCGGGAGTTATGGAACTTTTAAAGTTTTGACCGACCGCACAGGCAACAACAGCCGAAAACAGTTCCATAAGTTTTGGCCTTGTGGTCGGTCTCTGTTCGTGGATTAAAAGTCCCTAAATGCTTGTCATCCGTGAATATCCTGGTGTTCATTAGAATCCCCATGTTTAACTTAGTCTGTCTACCGAACAGTGGGACGTTCGGTAGTTTCGGCACGAATTTAGGGGAGTCTGGAGTCCTCAGCGGTGTGTGCCTAGTCGAGTGTCCGATTTTAGTTCCAGACACTCGACGGCAAAACACCGCTGTTCGGGAGTTTAAGATGGCCGCTGCCACGTGTAAAACTCCCGAAATGGCGGCCACCCAGGGACTTAAAGCATTTGTGGGTTTTCAATATGAATGTATTTGCCGAACAGGGAGGTAAATTGAAGCACAATTAGGTATCAGGGAGGTCCGGTGTTCAGTAGTTTTCATTCGTATGATGAATGCAAGGTCAATATAGTTTAGGTGAAAACAATTAAACGAATGCTTTAATCTACCGAAAGTCTTTAGAGAAAATCCACACGAAAGCAGGATAAAGTGAGGAAGGACAAGAAAACGGTGGATGTTCCCAGGCAAATTGTAGGGATTTGTTACAGTTGGTATCCTTGAAGTGACGTCGCGAGACAAGCATTGCGTCACTTCCCCATCTCCCAGCGGCCATCTTAGAAATGGCATGACTGTCCCAATGTGAATATGGTAATCAGTCTGTGTTAGTGTCCTTCCGTGATGTCCCGGTGGCCATCTTTAGGTCAGCAAGGTCCCAATTGTACTGGAAAAGCTGTCCAATAGTGTCCACCCAGTAAATTACTCCATTCAAGCATGTTGTTTATGGCATATAATAGGCACATAATAAAAAAAGAAAAATAGTGTATATTGCACAGAGAATAATTCTCAAACATAACCATAAAAGGTGAGGGCTAGACCCCCGAATAATCAGCTCTTTCTTTTTTATAAAATATGTGTAGACAATACTAAAGACAAGCAGGAAAATTCAGAAGTGCAACTTGTGGGTGTATAGTGTAGCCATAAATAGTGGAACTATACACAGTCAAAGTTTAATTAAAACGTAACTTTTAATAAAACTTTAAATCAGAGATCTGGTGAATGGTGCCACCACCCTTATTTCAACATACTTTAAAGGGTATGGGAAGCCTATAGGAAGTTAGATACTGGATCCTGTCCTCTGTTGTGTGAGAGGCACTAGTGAAAAGCAAAGGAGGAGGCAAAATTATGCCCTCAAGTGGTCCAGCTGACTTAGTTATACGGCATATCCCAAAGAAAATTAAAGATTTGTCATAACCTCTGGGACATTAGACTACACTGTGCTATAAACTGTTGGCACAAAAATAAAATAAATAACTCTATAGGTAGGGTCAGCAATGAAGTATCTGCTTTAACATGAGTT